AAAAGAATTTAGAGTCATGGGAACAAGAGCAAAGTCTAATCATATTCAGAAGAAAACAGTCTTGTGTTCATTGACCAAGTTACACTGTTTACGCTGTAACATTAATAATTCTTCAGTAGTGTTATTTTGTAGAAGCCAATTTACTTTAGCCGCGACTTGAAGTGGGTTTCAACCACGCTGAGTCAAGCGCATTCAAGCCTTATAAAGGCCAGACACAACAAAAAACTACACTAACTCATAGGGCAGTCCAAGAGGAATCACTACATGTAAGTGAACTATTTGAAATGCTAATTCAACATGACATCCAATGTGAAATTTATACAAAAGCAACTACTGCTATTTCAATAAATCAAAAATATATGCCCATCGCGTCAAATATACTTTAAAAATTTGTTCGTAATCTGTGATCTTTTTGTTAACAAATGTAGTAAAGAGTCCATCAAAATTTATTTTACGTTAAAATATCTTTCGAGAAAATTACAGGATTATCGAATAATTCCTCACTCAGTTGAAGCTCCTTGTCCTTCGAATAGAAGTTTGTGGCATCCTTTAGATACGTCTTCAATTTCTGATCATTCTTTCGTAATTAAACAAAATTTTGAGCAACCTGCGGTGCGCGATCCTCCAACTCATCTCGCTCCACATTTGGAAAATAATAGGGTTAGGCCAACATTCATACTTTTGCGATCGTTGAAGAAAATTGGTATCGAACAGTTGGGAGAATCATGAAAAATTTTGCATCAAATCAATGCAGTATAGTTACGAATGAAATCTGTAGGCTGATCAGAATCTTCAACTTCAACATGAAGTAAATGTCGGTGCTCCTCGACCCATGAACATGTGGAGACCTTGGAGTGAAAGACAAGAAGAATTTGTGGGTGCGAATTCGTCAGCTAATGAAAACAGTCAGGTGGGCAGTTTTCGCATAATTTTATTTACAAAGTCTTGTTTATTCTGCTACCTAACACTTCTAGAAATTCATTTACGCAAGTGCGACATAATCGATAGAATTACTTTGTCTAAGAAGTAAAGTATTCATATCAATTGTTCTATCGTGCAATTCACACAACAAAGTTTCATTTCGTTTTTTCAAGTGCTTTTTCTTGCTATTCTTAATGACTGCAAGACATTGGATAAGAACTGCTGCAGCAAGCGTGAATTCTTTGAAATATATCAAATTAACTTAAATTCATGGAATTGGTCTTGCCAAGTTATAAAGACTCACTGTCTTTAAAAAGTCTCAAATACATTGTGGTAAGCTTTGCTTAAGGTTTCTAACCACAAGACACAATCAAGAGCATCTTAAAATTGATTTCAGGAACAGATAGGCTTAATTGAGCTGCAAGAATCATCGGATGTGTATTTGTTTACAGGTAATTAGAATATTTGTGGTCTACTAATTTGAAATCAACGAACCAAATGAATTTAAATTTAAATTTGTTGCAGATCGTACGAATAGTTGGGAAGTGGTTGAATCGTACACAGTGCATCCAGATACGGTAACTTTAGCTGATAAAAGCACTTTGTCCGAAATAATTCCATTTTTGATAGAGTCTTGAAATACATATTTCTACTGAATATTTGTTTTACAGACTCTAATGGATTGTATGGAGCAGACAGAAGTTCTTAATCTCAAATGCTGTGAAAGTAACGAAGTTTTTTAAATTTCTTAAGTGACTGATTTTAATGGTTTATATGATTCAAATTCTTTTTATTTCAGGAAAAATGACAAACAGTGCAAATTCACTGTATTCTTGTAAGGTAATAGTAATTCTTAGTTTTTAGATTATTTGGGATGGTCGTTGCTTATAAAGCATTAAAATTTTTTTAATGGTTGCTTGGGACTTTTGATTTTCTTTAAAAAATAACTTTCAGGTATTGATGGATTCTACCAATAAACCATTTAAATTACATCTACCTGAAGGTAATCCAAGTATTTGAAAAATATTTTACATAATGTTTGTGAAGTTATGAAAAATTTGTGTGTTTTCAGAAGATTTGATGGACTGGGAATCTTCTGGATCAAATGATTTAAATTCGTGCGAGGTAGTTTTTTTCTGGGCACGAAGGTTGGAAAAAACGTGTGTTTATTAAAGGTTTAGTAAGAACCAAGGTTTTTCAGGATCCGCGGGACCAAACTGAACCATTGAATTTAATGCAGTTAGCAGGGAATAAAAGCCATTCCAGTGATGCAACTTCGAGTTTCGACATACAGATTTTTCCAGCTCCAGATGCCACTTCGAACCCACCGAACATACAGTTTGCAACTCTATCGATTTCTGACTTGATTTCATCAAATTCTAATCAAAGTCAACATTATGAATCGACGACATCTCCATATCAAACTTCTAGTGTTGAAACTAGTACGCGCAACCGTACTGTCCAACATGAATTTTCCTGTGATCTGTGCACTTTATCATTTAAAACTCCAAGAGCTCTAACTTCTCACAAAGCATCCCATAAACGGATATTACACAAGTGTCACATTTGCAATCGAGAGTTCGCGTATCCAGGATATTTCAGAACGCACATGGATACACACGAAAAAGCAAATACTACCCCAAAGTAATAATGAATTTTTTGAATTTTTTCACCAAGTAACGTATTCATGCTAGGCTTTTCCTCTAAAAAGCCTTCGATTCACAAATTTTGTAATTTGCTTTGTGGATATGTTCATTACCGTCTCTTATATAATAAAGATAACGGCAAAAGTTGTCAGGAGGAGGTGAAAACGGGCACAGCTTCAAAATAGTCGAAAAAAGTGCTAATACAAAATAGTTCGCTAATTAACTACAGCATTAATACTTCGTAGGACACAAATTTGACTTCCTACCAAACCCACACTTTTTCTTAATAAGAAAATGAAATAATTTTGAATACATATAATTTCGCAAATTGAAAAGCACTTTGCTAACTCATCTTCGAACACTTTTTTTGCTTTAAATTATGCTCAAATTTAGATCCTGACTGATGTGTTCAGTTAATCAGTTCTGGAAATTATGATTGGTTGTGATAAGTTTGTCATGAGCAGGATTTTTGAGTTATATATAACGAGATATTTATATATGTTATCGTGCAAGGATTCAGTTGTGCGAAATTACGGAATTTACGCTCAATTAATTGGTAGTACTTGCTAGCGACATGGTGTGTAGATTAAAAATCTGTATCGTTTACAGCAAATCCTGCCACTTAAATAGCAATTATTTTCTTGTGCGATCAGATGACAAAATTTCTCTCACGTAAATTAGACAGTTAAATACTTATATTTCGGTACTGTCCCATTATCGTAATGCTTTATAATTAGTATTTTTTGAACTCATTGCAGTCACTGGAATAGCATGTGAATTGATTTTTCATACTTTATATTGTGTGTCTATGCTATTAACTGATTGTCGTTGAAAGATTTCTGAACAAAAAAACTTCCACCCATATATATAAGATCAAACAGGGCTTAATTTTTCTTTTCATTATTGGTGTTCGCGCAAGAACCCTAGAGTTCAGTTTGCTTTACACATAGTCATCGAGGTTTACCTTTAATCAGGTACGAGTGTTGGTAAGCAATCCAAGTCAGCTACTAACACCGAGGTATACATTGATAGGGTGATACTCTTGGAAGGAGGCTCAAGTGTACAACTGAAATAGCCGAAGACAGCACTAATGACCGATTCGAGAAAGCGGATTTCTGAAGGCACTCCTGTATAGCAAAATAGAAAAGAAAACTCATCATGCAAAGCTACACAAGATGCGGAGAAATAAGCTCACTTCATCAAATTCATCAATGTGGCAACGATACGGAAACATAACCCCGCGAGATGAAACACGATACTGTAACCTCCACGATAGAAGTATGTTTGGAGCTGAGAAAGGTATGTGCCAACATTGTAGGAAACGTGTGAAAATGGTGGACCATTTAGCAGTGCAAAAAAATGTTATATCACGACTGTACTAGAAGACACAATGAGATCCTATGATGGGATTCTGCAGAAAGTATGGTCTTAAAGCATTCCCATGCATGCGGGCCATTCCGTTTAAAAAATCGTCGCTAATGAGAATGTCGAAATCAGAGTCGATACGCGAGTAAGGAAGCAATTAAAATAGGGGTGGATCGACCTGATATCATGATACACGATAAGAAGCGACACGATGCACCTGTGATAAAAGCTGGCATCATTAGTCAGGATGAGTTGATAGTTGTCAAGACCAAGAAAAGGCTGATATACAGGCAAATGAACTCGGGTCAGGAATGAAACGCAGGACGAAAATAATCCCATGTGACTTGAAATGGGATAGTGACGAAATTTCATGAACGCTCCGTGAAGGAGATCATTATCTCTCAAATTCAGTCTACGTGAAATACACATGATAATGACTAAGAATTATAACCCTGATATTTTGAGAAAGTGAAAGAATTTTTGGAGTATAAAAAGTATATTCCGGTACCAAGCTTTAGATCTGTCATAATGTTTAAATTCCATTTGATTTTTAAGGGATTAAAATTTTCGTAGTAATTTTTTTTTTACGTATACATTCTTTGGGAGTTTAAAAATTAAATGGATTTGCAAAGAAAAATCCAGAATTAAGAAAAAAAATTTTGTTAAAATATTTTACTTTTTCGTGTCTTTACCTTTTTTTCCATTAACCAAATTTTGTTCTCTTTCGTAATTACTCTGCGAGCTATTGTTGCGATATGCGTGAAGAAAGATACAACAATATAATAAGATTCATTTTACTAACATACTTTCAATGCATCATAACGTTTTTTTAACGCTCACTTTAGGATGCCACTTTTGTGCCTCTATTCACGCTCACTTTAGGATGCCACTTTTGTGCCTCCATTCACGCTCACTTTTGGATGCCACTTTTGTGCCTCTATTCACGCTCACTTTAGGATGCCAGTTTTGTGCCTCTATTCATAATATAAACAAAATTTCGTCCATATTATTCGTTATAATTTGTTTATGAAGCAATTTATGCTGTCTATTTATTTATCGTATTGTAAAAGTAAAATATTATCACTAATCTATTTGCAGAGCAATGCAAATGCAATTACCACTTCATTTTCAAAGATCTTTTATTTGTTTTTATTTGAATTTTTCATCACTACCAATCGATCTTTTTTCATTAAGTAAATTGAATACATATTCTTATCAAAAATTCAAATGGTAATTATTGCTATGGCAGTTTCTTTGCAGTTAGTTAGTATTCCTGCTTGATTCTCCGTTTCTTTGTTCTGAAAATAATTTATCAGACGTGTGACCAGTTTCCTAATTGTTTACTTTTATATCAGTTCTTCTTGATTGCTATAATTCATTTCTTCGCGTAACATACACTTTCATTGTATGTTTTTATCAAAATTTAAAATAGATTTATCTTTCCTTTGTATGTGTGTTTAAATTTTTTCATTTTCGTCTCAAATAATTGATTTCCTACGGCTCGTAAAATTTTGATGATTATATTATTTTGAACTATTTCCGACTTTTTAAAAACTCAAAATAATCTGGTATTGATTGAGCCAGGATAAACAGGATAATTTGTCCTAAATTTTTTAATTACTTTTGACTGATCAGACAGTTAAGACTCGTTCCAAATACTTAGTCCTCAACTCAACTTATTAAACTTTTTTGATTCGATCTAATTAATTTATTGACTTGCAGAAGAAGCAAAATTTTGCTCCAATTTAGTAGAGCAGTGAAAATTCATTTTTATTGCAAACTGCAAAAAAATTTTCCGCAATATTGCACTGAAATAGTAATATGAGTGACATTTTAGGAACTTTGTTCGAAAATTACGCAAATTAATGAGATTTTAGTAATGGAAAATTTGACGCGAAGAATATATTATATTTATTTTTTTGATAGCGATGTCGTTCAAATTAATGTTTTGAGATGCAAAAAGCATTGTCGGTGAGTAGAAGGAAGAGTGATGGGGTATGCATAGATTCTGTTTGTACACACTGAAATTCCGGACGAGGGAATTGGTTATTACTGAGGTGAGTTGATGTGATCACAAATTGTTTACTGTTGCTATTTTATCAGTGTCAGCTGACTAAGATGTGCCAGGTGATAGTGATAAGCATTTCTAATATAATAGTTTCTCAGTCTTCGATGAGTGTAAATAATTTGCTAAAAACCATTCAATCAGTAGTGTGCTTCGATGGCGCTGTTCTCGATTGGTCAATTGTTCGCTTGAGCTATATTTATTTGACTGATTAGATAATGCACCGATCAGCGAACTGGTTGATATAAAATTATTATTATTATTCATTATCATTGTTATATCATTATAATTTTTATTATGCTACATCTGAATATTCTTGGGAATATTTATATAAAATACTTTGAGTGCTCGTTTGCATTGCCGACAGTTTACACAGTTGATTTGATTTTAGGAAAGCAAAAATAGTAATAAAAGAGCTAAAATTTTTATTTAGTGATGCCAGTATGGTAGGTAAAGTGCTGTGGTGAAAAAGCGAATTAATTATGTATGAATAACTTTTTTGTGGTATTTTCATTAATTTTAGAGTTAAGTTTTTTGATGCAAAATTACGTTTTGATATTATTTTTTTAGTTTTTTTTGAAGTTAGACGGCTGCTTTGTGGTATGTTTCACGTTTAATACTTCTGAAGAGAAACTGAGATGTACTGATTGAATTCAGGATGTTACTTGATTTTACTGTTTGTCTACATATTTACCACACAAAAAAGACTCAAAATTTCACCTCTTTTTGTAACTTTGATTTGGATTGCGTTTATTTCACAATAAGCTGAGATTTATTAAAAATTGTCTGTTAATTATTAACAATGTCATCTAGATGACCTTTTTGTTGTATTTTAATCTGAATTTATACGTCAACAGGATACTAATTTGTGCTAGAAATAGATACGAGTAACCCATGTAATGAGAAAAATTTTTTATTCCTTCCTTGTTAAATTAAAATATAAAACAGCCTAATTTAAATTTGAAAAAATAGAAAAGTGTAGCACTTTTTTTCAAATTTTTATTATTGAAAAAAAATACTAAAAACAGTCAATAATTTTAATGATTTTAATAATTAATGCCTTTTTGCGTCAATATTTTTTTAGTGCTTAAGGTGAATAACTTACAGTTCAATGCAGTCTACTAAATATGAGTGAATTTCTGCTTTTTTCATAAAATTAATGACACGGAAATATTGCTTTTTTGACAGTATTATTTTTATTTGTTCTCAGAACTTGTCCATTTTTCTTTCGATACCATTAACTTTACTGAACTTCGTAACTTTTTGCTCTTAGCATAAATCTTACTGCCTACTAGACTACTTGTGAATATAAACTCATTACATGCCTGATTGACTGAACTCGAAATTTGAATGATTTAAACTTTACTGAACATTTTCAGCAAAAAATAACCCAACAAGTTTGTTAGAAAATGAAAAAGAAATCAAACAAAATAGTCTTCAAATAAATAATGAGATTTATACAGCTTCAGAAAAAAAAGAAGCAATTAGAATGCTGAAATACTTTGAAATGAAACACTTCAAATAGATGGAATTTAATTACTTTCCATAATACAAAAGTGCTTGGCTCATTGTTTTCAGTAGCGAAACAAAATTTTATTCAAGTAATTATAATTATTCGTAATGTTTCTCACTCGAATGATTCTTTTTATATGCCATATCCTACGTGTTAGCTGAGCTTGTTACGTCAACTGAATTACGTAACGGATGAATTATATTATTTTGACGAAATGAAAAATAAAACAGTGATAGCAATTGTATTTACTACTAATGATGATATTTAATGGTAGCAATTATAATGTATGTGTGTGTGTGATATAAGGTCATGACCATATGAGAACGTCTACGCGATACACGTAGAGGAGCAGTCCATATGTATGCAAGTATTGTTTACTTCGAAAAAATGCCATATCTCATTATTTTTGGAATCAGAAAATGAAATAAAACATTTGAATTTGATTTTCAATTTCTGACTGAGTAGTAATGCTCTACTCCACCCTGCAGTTCAGTCGATGATTCAATCATTTAATTATCCATTCACTCAATCACTCAAACAATGAAATGTCTTAGCCTCCCTGCCATGCCTTATACTACATTCTTCCCCGCCATCGCAGTGATCGTGCTATCAAGAAGACTAAGTTATGCTATCCGCAAGAATCGATTATAATTGAGTCACTTATTTCTATACTCAAATGCTTCTTTGATGCATTTTTTTGTCATTTTCTATACTTTTTCACTCTGAATGCATAATTCTTTCGAATTTTTCTTATCTTTTCTTTGTCTGACTTTTCCCTTTTTACTGCAAAAATTACACACTTAATACTGATCACTGCGCTATACTTTTCTTATCTATTCTTATTATTCGCTCATCTTTATGCTAATCAATTTGTATCTATTTGCTTATACTATTTGTATTTTTATATATTTCTATTCTATACTCATTCATCTATACTTAATATTATTCAGTTCTGTGCTTGGGAATTTTTGAAAAATAATTTTGAGTTGATCAAGTATAATTCAGTGTTAGCAGTACAATAATTTGATTTGAAGTACTCAGTTTTGAAATTGACTACTTGTGATTTTTAAATATTAAAAAATCAAGCTTGAAGTAGAGAAGTGGTGGAAAGAAATTAAGAGAATTGGAATGTAGAAGATATTTTATTGGACTTTTGCACTAATTAATTGATATTTCCGAAGGCTTCCAAATTGTCACGCTGTGCTTCGATTGCCAGACTTCGATTGATAACACTGACGAGTTTAGAGCCAAATTTCATGCACATGCTCTCATGCTCATTTCTATGCTCACCCTTAATTGCTAGGTTTTATTTCATATTCGAGGTGAATGTGAACGAATTGAAATTTGCTGCACACACCCATGTGATCTATACATTTTTCAAAATTTCTTGTGCAGTGAAAAATCTTACTTTAAATTTATAGAGATAAGTTATTGACTTCGGGAATTTCTGATTGAGTTTTAGTTATCTGAAAAATCTTCATTTCAAATTAAAATAATGAGTAGTCTTTGAGTATATTATTAGAAAGCATTTTCTTTTTGCAATAATATTTTGCATTAATAAAAGATGTAAATTATAACATATGTTTTTAAGTAAAAAAAGGCTAAATAAACTTGTTTACGCTTGCAAATTGCGTAGAAAGTCTCGTGACAAGAACACAAATATGCACAGCAAGTGTTTTGAATGTTGTTTATTTTCTTAGCATTAAACAGTTGATTTGAGTATGTCGGAAGGCAGACAGCCTAGTAGATTATTATTTATTTTAATTTATAATAAAAGGAATTATATCATTCTATATTTTGCAACAAGATTTTTAATACTTTTCGTTAATAATTTGGAATTCTCAAGCATCGCACCTTGCTTCTTGCGAAAATGCCCTAGTTGTTTGGTTTTTTAGATTTCCCTCGTTATGTACTTCTGTGATTCATTCGAGTCACTATCACTTAACCTGCCACTCATTTTCGTCATCATTTAAAGATCATAATACTTCATAATTATTCATTATTAATTAATTTACTTGATGGATTTAGTATAACTACAAAATTTTAGTCCGGCATTTATTGCCCAGATGTCTCCCATGTCTCGTACAATGCTTCATTTTTCGGTGGATGTTGGAATAGTACGAAGTTGGGAGTATGTATTTGTTACTGGGTCAGTACCAGCTTTAGGTTTATGGATACCTTCTGACGCTTTTCTTCTGTTTCCAGATCCTGATTCTAAGTGAGCCTACTGAGTTTTTTGACTCCACTTAAATTTTATAATAATCCACAAAACTATTTATTTTGTAAAAATTAGCAATCCTCTTTTATTGACTACATGAGGACAATAAATTGATGATTTTTTCGAATTGTGAACTAATGTGAAAACACTTTTTCTCCCTAATTTCTTCAAAGGATTTGACTTATTCAGATTTGGAAATATGTCTAACAGAATGATTGAAAGAATTATTTTTGCAGTAGACAGCGCTGGAGGGGTGCAGTAGAGGTTGGATCTGATGCAGTGAAATTCCGTTATTTTATAGGATATTATTTACACAGTGGCAAAGAAGAAGATGAAAATGTTTGCTATTTTTTCTTACAATTGAATGGAAAAATAAAAATAAAATGAATTTAAAATGGAACAAACATTTTTTATTTTTTGGTTTTTCATAAATCCGTTAGTTTCGCAAATGCAATTGCAGGAATTGATTATTAGCAAGTGGGAATCGTTTTTAAATCCTCGAATTGTTTTACCAGTAACTGAATCAATCTCAGGCATATCTCATTTGCATGTTAATGGCAAATTTGGTTGGAGTTGTGAGTTGATTATTTGATTTTATAACCTCTTTGGAAAAAAGACTTTTTCCAATCAATCTTTTTGATTTTAGTGGCATTTAAACTTCATCATTTTATAATGAATCTTAAAGATAAACAAGTCTGAAAAATAAGCCGAGGAGCTTGTAAAATGTGAAAAAGTCTGAAAATTCCAATCTTTTTACAGGATGATCAAACTTATTGTTTGATTATTTTAATTCTTTTTGATGTTTTTTGAAGTTTTATCTTTATTGCTTTTTGAGATTTGAAAGGACCTTTATTTCCCATATCTTTCTAGCTGGCAGAATGCTTGTAAGTGAAGCTTCACTCATGGGAAAGGATCAGAACGAAATTTTGCTTCGTTTCCATGGAAATCCATTCAAATTTTATAAGAAACGTTATGCAGAGCATTCATATTGCATCAAAGTTACACCATTTGATTTGAGACATAAAGAGGTAACTCAGATTTTTAAACATTTTCTCATAAATGCATCGATAAAGAAAGAAGTTATAGGTTCTAAATATTCATTTTTTATCCGCTTGTATAATTGTGAATTCTCGTCCAAACACTTTTCATTCTATGCTTGTTTGTTACAAGCATACATGTCACTGTTGCGCTTGAAACATGGGATTTTTGGCTCATGTCTTTTCTCATGCGAAATGCACTATAATATCAAACTTTTGTTCACTTAAAAAATTTTAAAGTTAATAAATGTATTTGAAAATGACCGATAAGTAGATTATGTCCAGATTATAAATTATTTAAACCTCTATATTTTGTCTATGCAATTATTTTTTTCGTACTAATTTTTTTTTGGAATTGCAACTTTCACTGATATAGAGATTTGATTTTTGAAAGCTGAGTAGTACTGTTGTTTATACATCCAAATGTCACTTTAACATCTCTGGTATGTTGCAAACATTCTGATATCAGATTCAATTCCCACTTCACATTAATCCAAACATGGGAATAATTGGCAGAATATGACCATGTGGCAGGGAATTTATGAGCAGATATTTTAATTTATTTTATTTTTGAAATAGTTTTAGGCTGGAAGTGTAGATGATGATGAGACTGAAGACAGCCAAGAACCGGTTGTACCGTCCTGTTCGGTGGCCCTTATTGCCGTAAGTTGCATTTATTTTAATTTCTGAAAAAAACTTTCCTGTTCACTTTTTTACAACAAAACATTTAAAAGACCAAACTTTCTCTAAGAATTGCGCTACCAAAAAATTTAAAAATTGGGTTGTTAAATATCTAATTAGGTCAGTTGTTGCATCGATTAATGTTGAAATTCAGAACGAATGGCTCAAATTTTTTTGCGAGAACAGGAAAAGGATATTTCATCTCATAAATGCGGAAAATATGACGTTACGTAAACTAGAGTGCATTTGCGCCACGTACGCTTATAATCATGTGCTAAGAAAAAGTACTCAACATGCATGCACTTTATAATATTAACAAAAAGTCGAAACGCAAAGCCATTAACTATAATAAGTAATCGATTATACTAGTAATATGAATGTGAAATATTTGAACTTTTTTGTTTTCGTTATATCTTCAAGTCATCGAAGTACAGTGACACGTTAAGTGAAGTGGGGATGATAAGGAAGTATGATATATTCTAATTACATATTTATTTACGGGAATTTTAAGAATTGTATTTAATCAGTGCAAAGCATCTCAATATACTTTTATTAATTGGATGAAGTAATTGAAAATTAGTTTTGCAGAAAATATTTTTGTGCCTTAAATATTCAATATAAGGTGTGTCTTATGATTTTAGCTGCAGTAGGTGTAAATATGCGTGTTTTTTTTCGATTAGGTAATCGATTTGTATTGAGTAGTAACGTAAGTGGCGCAAATGTTTCAGAATCATCATGATTTAAAATATTAGTGGTGTCTTAGGTTTAGAATTATCATTCTGGAATAGTGAAAGTTAAACTTTGTCTTGTTTGATTAATATTAAATTCTGACATACTGAGTGGATTTTCATTAAGTGCAAAAATTATAGTTGGTGTTTTTTGTATGTGAACCAAAAAACGAGATTTTTGCAGAGATAACTAGTGAACACGTGGCATGAAAATGCGGATTGATGGAGCTAAGGATTTTATTTCACTAAATATATAGGGTTTTTTATTAGTCCACAATTAAGATCATTTTATGTTCTTTGACTACTTTTCTGCTGTAGACATTCGAATTTTAATGAGTTTTTAATTACAGTTAGTTTATGCTTTCTCCTGCCAAAAGTGTAATCCAAAATTCATTTCTTACAAGAACAAAATTTGAAAAAACGTGTAAATTTGAAGCATGTTCAAGAAAAGTCTCACGCGAATTAAAATTGTAATGGATTTTAAATCACGGTATTACTTAAGTAGTGTTTTGTTCAAAACTGTAAAGCTCAGGAAGGAGTTTTTTTCAAAATTTACAATTTTGGCAGGATATTTTTTATAATATCTTTAGTTACAAATTAATAATAGCGATGCAACTACGAGACATTTTAATGATTTTATTTAATGTGTCGTATTTTTGCTCTAAGATCAATTTCGAATAATATGTAGGTTTTTTTTCAAAGTATTCTTTAAGAACTTAACTGAAAATTTTGCTTGATATGATTGTAATTAGAAATTAGTCGAGAAGTAGAGTGTGTTGTAAAGTAGTTACAGAGATAAGGTTATGTTGTTTTAGTAATAATAGCTGTTTTTACAAGAGTTCGTTAAGTTTGAATCATATTAATTTATTTCTTTCTATTATATAGTAACGAAGATGAGTAGTTAGTAAAGAGGGAGATAATGTGAGATTAGCTTAGCTCGTACTAAAAATTATGATTTTTAGAAAATTGATCTTGAATGCCTTTAAGGGGGAGTATGTTGATATGTTAGTACCTTAAAGTCTTGTCACAGTTCTCAGTTGTCATGCGTAGAATTCATAGTGGAGACACTCTTTCAGATTTTGCCGTAAATGTGCTTGCTGCAGCATTGATGGATGCCATGGATTAATTCAGATGTAAAAGTGTCTTCTTCATCCGTGATCGTTTGAGAGGACTCGGAGGAATGAATGAATGAACCGTAGCGATGTGGATTAATTATTCACCACATGCAAATAAATAAATATACATATGTATACACAAATATAAATATTTAAATATATATGTATATTTATAAATATATCCATTTACATATATATAGACATGAATTAAGCTTGATTTTCTAAAGCTTACGCATGATGTAGTGCAATTAAAATCAATGAGTCATTCACTACTACACTTAATTTTTAATATTTCTGTTATTACTGTGAATGATTTTACTGCAGCTATTACTTCCATTATTGCAGTTACTACTGTTGCCATTTCAGCCATCACACATACTCTCAACAGTGGTTTAAAGCAAGCAAAGTCCAACATTTCAGTGGAGAAAATCATTAGTCACTACTGTACACAATAGCCACGAATTTAATTTTCAGATTTTATCATCGAGTGATCCACATTATCGTGAACAGTCGCCATCTGGTGATCGTTTTAAAGTGGGCAGCGATTATTTCATATTTCGCACACGATCTGTTGCGGTGGAATTTCTTGTTAGCATCAAAATTTTTTCACAGCAAATCTTGTCTCTTTTGGGACTTTCCATTTAGTGGAAAAAATTATACTTACGCTAGATTTATTATGAACACATTAGTGTGAGGACTTTTGAATTCTAAAATCCGCAAAGTGATATGCTTTGTGGACATTTCACTAAAGGATATTTTAAAAAATTGTCATTGAATTTCTCTTACATTTCAATAATTTTGGGCGTAAGAAAAATGTGTTGTAGAAAGTGGTAGTCACATTGTCTTTAAAGCATATAATTAATATGATATTAAAACAAGAATCCCGCAATTGGTTGTTGATTAGCCTAAGATAAACATGAGAAGATAAAATGATTCAATATTTGTTATTCTGTTCGATGTTTATTCATGCTTAAGATGCTTGTACTTGTCGTTAGTTGGCCAGCTTATAAGCTAAGTTTTTGGTAATTTGGATTTGATCTTAACGTTTGAGGGTTTCCGGATAGAATTATTTATCTATGACGCTGAAAATGGGCCATGTCAAGAACGTTTTGCTACGGCCTACGCGTTACCGTCATCATTTAATGGAACTTTTGGCGTTGCTGGAGAACCACTTTTGGCAAACAGTCGTCCCATTGGACAAATTATGAGTACATTATTCTTGTCATTTGTAAATAATTTAAATTCTATAAATTGCGCATAATTTATTTTCGTTCACATTTGCTTGCATTTGTTAAACGATCATTTTATTTGCTTTTGTTTTTTAACATTATGATAGAAAATGAATTAACGACATCTATTTTCAGTGGAATATTTGTTCATTCGACCGATTTTAACCCCCTCTCCAGTACCAAAGTTGGATGTTTCGTATGCTAAACACTGGAAAAAACGTCAGCCTCTTGAAGTTGGTCATCGGGGTATGGGTAATTCATATACAAAGTATGTTATTAACTAATAATAGAATTGTATCAATGAAAATTTACTTCACATTGAGTATTTTTCGTTATTAAATATAGAGTTTGTTAAAATCATGTATTTTTAATGGAATTATAGCAGTTATATATATACGCATAAGAATTTGTAGGATGAATGCAGGTCGAGAAAATACTATACATTCTCTCAATACAGCTGCTAGCCGTGGTGCAGATTATGTTGAATTCGATGTGCAGCTTTCAAAGGATAAAGTACTTTTTTGATTTTGATTCGATATACTTCATTAGAATACTTCTAAGGGTTATAAAATTTTTACAAAATAATGCCTGTTTTACTTAAATATAACTTAGATATAACTTTTGTATTTTATTAAAATACTTTTTATAAGTTAAAAATGTGATTTCGGAAATATTTGGTTTGTTATCACTTCTATCATGAATTAAAACAGTTCAGTTGTCTTATTATGCTAAAATTGTTAGCTTCTAGGTAGCTGTTATATTTCACGATTTTCACGTCTTAGTAACCGTAGCAAAACGTCGTACTCCTTGTCTTGTAACAGAACCTCATGGTGCGGCTAGTGATTACCATCAACTTGCTGTGAAAGATCTTAAATTGAATCAGCTTCACTTACTTCGTGTATTTTGTTTATTTTTAATACAAATGAGATGTTTTGCTTTGAAAATTCTATTTTATATCTTTTACTGTTACATGTAGATGCCACTTATCATTATTATTTTCATGGTGATGACTGTGCGATTAGTTTTTTCTTTGTTTAAGATATCCAAATTTGATATATTTTTTTAGCTAGAGCATTATAAAGTAAATCAAATACAATCACGCTTGAAGTATACGGCATTAAGTGCAGAAGCAGATGAACAAGATGAACGACTACCTTTCCCTACTCTTGTAGATGCATTAAAACAGGTTGATCCATCTGTTGGCTTCAATATTGAGGTCAAGTATCCCATGATGCAGAAGGTTGTCCATAAAATTTATTGAATAATTGAAATTTTCTGAAAAATCTTAATTTTCATTGCTAAATATAAATAGATTACAACAGTTTTGATTATGGAAATTAGCTTAACCATTATTTTGAGACTTTAATCGTAATTACCAGTAAGAAACTGTGAGAGGGAAATTTTATATCAGTAATGTAAATGATTAGCAGAAGTAAAATCTACAAATTTTTGGTGATTGTCACTTAATTTTAACCTCATAAATATTACAGTTATTTTTTAACAGAATGGTTTACATGAGTGTGAAAATTATTTCGAACGCAATGACTATATCGATATAATTCTTAGTGATGTACTGAATAATGCAGATAATCGTCGTATTGTTTTTTCATCTTTTGATCCTGATTGTTGTGCAATGTAAGTTTTTTCAAAAATTATAATTGACCGAATCTGTATGTATATGTATATAAGATTGTATATTATATATAAATTGTATATTAAAATTTTTCTTCCAAAAAAAAGAAGGATAGTTTTATAATTAGAGAAAAAATCATGTCTCAAAGATATTACTAAGTTGTTTGATTTTATTGAAATTGATAAAATATCTTTTTTAGGCTAGCTGCAAAACAACATTTGTATCCAGTACTGTTTCTTTGTGTTGGTTTGACAACACGTTATGAGCCTTTTGTTGACTTACGTGCATCAACTTCCGATGCTGCTGTAAATTTTGCTGCTTGCATCGATATTTTGGTGAATAAAATAAATTTTTTAAATCAATATATTGTAAATTTTGTCATTACTTCCGTGTTAAGAAAGTGGCAGATTTTTAGGAAGGTACAAATTCACTTTTTGAATAATTCGTCTTCTATTGTGTGAGACAAGCTTGTTTATTTGATACAATTAAATTTTCAGACTTAAAATGTAAGATTTCTAGTGATTAAATCCCATCAGTTAGTCACAAAATTAATTAGCTCTTAACTTTTATAAATTTAGGGTGTCAATTTTCACACTGAAGATTTATTGAGAGATGCGTCTCCTATATTACGTGCACGGCAGTTTGGATTGATATCATTTGTTTGGGGTGATGATCTCGACAATAAAGAAAATATAGATTATTTTAAGAAAGTAATACGTGTCGATGGCCTCATTTATGATAGGTATATTATTTGTTATCAGTGTTGAAATTCTCAAAATTCCGTATTTATTTTACATAAATTTATTCCAAGTTATATAAGGCAAATCGTTATATACAAGTTTCTAATTTAGTATCGAATTTACTCTTTTATTGCTTTGGATTCATTATAGAATTGGTGAAATTGAAGCACGGCGGAATGTTTTCCTAGTAGAACGAGAAACGAAGACAAAATTATTCCGACAAAGTATTTCACCAAATTCGTCATGCACAGTTTCTCTTGATGAAGAACCACCATCGCCTTCAGTATCAGAAAATTCAGCTTCTTCAGGGTTTTTCTTTCTTCAAAGCATTCTTATTTTTGTTGTCATCATAGACAACAACCTACAGTTTCTTAAAAAATGTACGCTTTTTTTGCGTTAGACTCATTTCTTGTTTTTGCAGCGAAAAAAAACTTTTTCACGAAGTCATTCCTGATGAAGGCGAATAATGAGAGAAAAAATTGAGTTATATTATTTACGGCAACGCATATGCTAACTTTTAATTATTTATTAACAAAGCAGTTTTTGTTAGTTTTATTTTGGACTTTTTTGCGATATACGAGAATAATGAGGACAATTAATTTCTGTTCATAATGCAGATAAAGGTCAAAAAAGTAGTCTCTAAAAATATAGCACTATCCTCAATTTAGTATATTGAAGGTTGAAAATATGGCAAATTTCCGGACTTCAAAAATCAATTAAATGTGAAAGTTTCCAAATTGATGGAAGGAAGTAATTGTATGTATATAATATAATGCATGAAGCTAGTAGATTTTTCAGATCAGCAGCATTCAAAAGTGTTCAAATTCACATTGCTGGTGATGGAATGCACTATGAAAATCACCTAAATCACCTTGCACCAAATAGTTGCTTACATTCGGCATCGTATTCTTAGAAATGAATTCATGACAGATACCATTACTTGTAATTATTTTTGCTTTCTCACACTGCATTTCCCAGTTATGCTAGAAAAGCGAACTAACTATCACAAGTGATTGAAATTTCTACCATGTTAGAAAACTGACACCATATAGTAATTGTGAATTGACTGATTTAAGTGTCATTATTGATCATCCGAGCTTTCAACTGAATAATACATTGCTATTCCTATCATGTGTCAGCCATTTTCTTTCGAAAAGTGTGCTTTTTTAATTTCCAAAAATCCGTCTAAAATTTTGAACCTTTTATAATTTGCTTTCTAATAATAAAATAGTAGGGAATCCCCGCTGTTTATTTGAAATGAAAGTCTTTTAGCTGCATTGGTGTGTCAAGTGCATAAAATTACCAAATATGACGTGCTTCTTGCCCCACAAGTTGTATATTCTAAAAAATTTTTAATTTAATATGCTTGAATACTTATCATTTTAGGATGAGTGATTTTCTGTGCTGTTCACTTGTCACTTTGTTTATGATTGTAACTGATATCTATGAAAAACATTCCATGTTTCGGATGCCGTGCATACTCGTCATCTTTCGCTTTGTTTGCACTCTGTTAATTCTTAGAGTCTGGAACACTTCTTAACTCTGTCATTTCTGTGCAGAATTACATTCCTCTCAATCAATTTCATTACGCAAATTTCTCCTACCAACCAGAAATGCTCTCCAATAGCTATTTCTGATGCTCTTGTATGCTTCTTTGCATTTTGTGACAAATCCTTTTTTCTAATTTTCAAAATATGCCACGATTGAATCTCTTGTAATTTAAGACATGAGCAGTTATAAGAATCTAAATTTTTCGTTCATGTGCAAGTTCATGCTTACTCTATTTGTATAGAAAAGCTGGTACTGAAGCATGATATTCCTGTCTCAGTCCTTTTCGGTTCCTTCAAAACAATGTAATTAACCAGAATTACAGCCCGCTATTCCGTAGTGCAATATGGTGAGACAATGACCAGAATTGCTGTAAAATTATTAAAATTGCTTGAGAAATGCCCTCTATACAATCTAATTTGTGTATAAGGTCTTCAAATGCGAGGTACAGTACAAACTTATTACCCAGCACTGTGATTTTCTGGCGCAAAGTAATTACGAGTATGGTTTCATTTCCTGCTCGGCTTTTAGTTTAAATATCTCATTAATGTCAGATGTAATTTTCAAAATAAAGAATAAAAATATGGAAGCAGTATATGAAGAATAAAAATACTCAAAGGATTCTAGTAATTTAAATGTGTTTATACTCTGTGTGAAGTTGTTCACAATCACACAACATTTCCATTTGAGACGTATTTATTCCACGTCTTCTTCTTGGCATTATGGTATTATACGATAGTTCTAATTTAGTTTCGAAGGTAGCATCACGTGAGGTCACAGCATCATCAGAAACGTAACTGCATTGTTGTATCCGGTAGTTCTATACCAGCAATTTTGGTATCATGTGTTGCAAACTAGTCATTCGAGATGCTCCGCATACAGTAATAGTGATTTTTGAGCTTCGCAAAGAAATAAATTCTTAAAATGTATTGTCAGCAACTGATCCCTTCCATTAGTCAAAAGTCACAAGCGTAAAATTTTTCACAAGAGATGTTCGAAAGTCTGTGAGCATAGACATTATTCAAATACAATGACAGAGTCACGTATAAACGTTTACGCAACCGTCACTAAAATTACGCGTAAACACTTGAGACTTCCGTACGCTGAATTGTAAAAACTGGTCGAAGACCTTTGTGCAATAAGTCGAACTCGCCATGATATTTTGTTTCGGTTTTTGTCACGTATTATTTTTATATTTATAATACGTCAGTGGGTTTAATTGTAGCTAGTTCTAAGTTTACAAATTATTACTAGGTAAGACTGTTTATTATCACCTAAAAGCTTCAAATGACTTTAACTGCAATATAAAGTTGTGATCTATTTCACGTTGTCCTTGGTTAGGAATTTTTTTGCCTGTCGTCACTTAGTAAAGAAAAACTTGTTACTTAAACTAGCTTATTAATATAATCAGTGTTAAACGCCATATTTGTGGAAACAGAATAATGCTTTGCTTGAATTTTCGCCATAAGGTATTTCATTAAACAAAGAATAATGGAAGCTGGGGAAGGAAGCATGAAGCCTTCTAGCAGCAGTCATGATTTACCGAATCCTATCAAAAAGAAGGTAGAATCATTGGTTTCTCAAAAATTACATGCTGATCAGGTATTCTTTCTATTTAAATACTTGGTTACTTGTATTTAGTCTCGTATGTCGGTTTCAATATATATGTCATCTTTTTATTTTAAAAGAGTTTCAGTACAAAATTATTTGAATTTGATTTTTGAGTAAGGTTGATCAGGTAATGACCAAATTTAAGTTAGTCAGTATAAATAAAGAGTGCGATTGGATTATTATTTTATTAAATATGCTGAAATATTATGTTTCTAACTGCTTAAGCTAGAAATAAAGGGAAAAATGTTTTTATCAGTATGAAGGCTGATTCTTTCATAAAGCTGATGATGTAAATACTAGTTATTAAACTTGTATATGTTGAAACTGGTCAAAGCTTGAAAGCTAAAAGTAATTGTTTAAGGATTGTTAAAATTAATTCGTCATTGAATTAATGATGCTTTTTAACTGGTTATGCTAATTTGTAACTATTATCTTATGAACTTGTTGTAGGATTTTTTGAAAATGGTTGATTATGTGGCACCAATGGTCGATGAAATTGATATTCATGTGGAACGGCGGTTACAGCATCAATTAGAGGAACGTAAAATTAAAGCAAACAGGGATTATTTGCAGGCTTTCGGAGAGGTATCAGGTTGCTTCTTGTTCTGTCACACATTTGGTTAATGAATCCAGTTTTGTAAATTGGCTCTTATATTTTTATTTGCATTACTTTTGTATAAAATCATCTCTTTTGTCAATATTAATCGTAGTTAGAAATTTAGAAAAATTATCAGATTATATAAAATATAATGGAAAAAATGATTAAAAATTTATTACTTTGTAGCCTAAATTTCTAATTGCTATTGAATTTTTGCCATAAATATGTAATAGTATTGTGAATGTTGCACTTTAATTCAAAGTAGTGGGCTAAGCATTACAGGTTAATGATAGGGTGCAAAATTTTGCTGCAAAGGTGCGACAACTGAACAGTATTTGTCAGGATATGACTAACAGAATTCAGTCAAATAAAGCAAAAACTCAAGATTTGTTGGCGAAAACTGCTTCTCTTCAAAATGAAAAGTGTTTATTTTTCACTGTATTTTATAGCAGTTAACTCAAAAAAAAATCCATCACTTTAAAAATTCATCTTAATTGTCAAACGGTTTTATTAAGCATCATCAGCAAAAGAGTGCAGCAATTGATACACTCAAATTGCTTTCCTTAAATAAATTTGATTTCAATAAGATATATAACTTGCTTGAAACAACACTGCGAATGTTGGAGAACGTAGTGAATTTATCAAGTTAATTTATTTTTTGGATATTTTCTAAATAAGTGCAAGTCAGTTCAAATCAATGATGAAATTTGTTGATTTGGATTAATCTCATCATTGACTATGAGTATGGAATTATTTAGACACTACTATATTTTAATTTAATTCTAAAAAATTTTTATAGCTATTACATGCTAAAACATTTTGTATTTTTATCCATAACTTTTTCTCATTGACTTATTTTATTACAGATGTCTTCATATAGTTAGGCCATATCTTATATAAAGTGGTGATGTTTAGCTTGTTTCAGTACATTATTTTTTTGATATCAATGCTTTTAATTCAACGGTTTTTTTCAGGCTAACACTAGAAAAGGAACAGTCAGCAATTAATGATTTCCTGACTCGTTATACACTAACATCTGATGAAGAAGCAGCTCTAAAGGGCTCTGAAGCTGGTTAGTTTTTTTTTGAAATTGAACTTTTTTTTTTTGAAAATGCAAATAATTTTGTATTTTCCATTTGTTTTATTTTTATATGTCTATGGTATAACAAACTTTATTTGCAGATTTCATATGCTACTTTCTTCACTGTAATCTTTCTTATTCCAGATGGCACAGTTGATACGAAATTTTTTGCTGCCTTGCAGCGCGTAAAACATATCCATAATGATAGCAAAAATCTTCTTCGATCTTCCGGAGAACATCTTGCAGCGTGATATTTTTTTTGTTTATATTCCTAAATTTCATTCAGTATTTTTATTTTGTTCAAATCAAGATGTATTATTTAGATTAGAGATAATGGAACAAATGGCAAGTAAGCTGGAACAAGCATATGAAGTCCTCTACCGTTCCATTCAGCGTAAATTGTTTACTGAATCATTATCTTATTTCGAAGTTATTCATAACCTCAATAATTTATGAAAATATAGTGTCACTGTTTTCCAACAGAATTTAAGAATCTGTTATTATATTTTACCGAATTAAACTAGCACGTTGCGGACTGATTATTTTTCGAAGTTGGTCTAATATTAATATATAACTTAGTAATCTATCTACTTTATTTATGCATACTTTATCGTGGTTCAGGGGAGTGTCGCGTGCTCAACGTGGAGTTTTTGGAACTAAAAGGTGTTTTGATGCAATCTATCGCAGCTCTTCAAGACCGAGAAGTCCTTTTCAAATACGCATTGGATGAATATGTCACAGCACGTAGAAATCATTTAGTTCGTGCATATATTGATGCTTTGACCCGAGGAGGTTCATTATTTTCTGTTAAAAATTTTATTCTTAACGAGTTTATTAGACATCATTTTTATTTGATTATGATTCCTTTCTTTTCAAGGGATATATAACATTTCGTTATTTACGCTTCACTGCGCATAAATGGCGAAAACTTTTTCTGTTTTATAAGTTTTTGTTTCAAATCTCAAGGAACCTATTTTTCTTTCAAAAAATTATGTAAATTCAATTAAAATATAGCCATCTGTAAGTTCCGCTCCTCTGAAATTCTTTGCGCTATTCTTTGGGGGAAAATTAATTTCTTCACATTTTCTTTCTAAAGAACAGTTTTCCATATTAAATTTTTTTTAACTTTGAGATACAGTTTTATCCAAAATTGGAATTAAATTAATCCGTTGACCCCAGTTTATGTTTGTTTGATATCTATTATCATTAGGAGATATTTAATACAATGAGATTGTGTTTTTAAAGAAAAGTATATTTATACCTTTTGATGTTGATATTTAGCTGATTATTTTAGGTGTTGGTGGTACGCCCAAACCAATTGAATTGGTATCTCATGATCCTTTAAGGTTTGCATATAAGCTTCATTTTCTTCTCAAAAATTTTATATCTTCGTATCGTTCTGTCTCTATTTAACTTTATCTTATGAGTATAAGAAGATCATCAAATTATTTTAAAATTTCTTGTTTTCATTATTTACTATCTTTTTAATTCCTTGATTTATGTGAACTCTATCTTTAATCTGGATTTTGTTAAAATTTAAACCTTTAAATTTTCAGATATATTGGTGATATGCTTGCATGGATTCATCAGGCTATGGCTACAGAGAAAGAGCTTTTGCAAACATTGCTGAAATTATGCAGTGCAGATGGTAATAGTTTTAGAATGATAAAAATTTTTGTGTCCTGCCAGTTAGCGTAAACAAAGTTTGAAGCGTTTATCTATTCTTCACTTGAAAAAAAAAAGTCATCTGCCAGTTAAAATTTTTCTCTTTTCTTTTAAATTTGCATATCAACTGCTTGAAATTTGTTAATTTTATCTAGCGGATGATTAAAGATTTCTTCAGTTTTAAAAGAAAACGGCGTTGTTGTAACGAGCCAAATTTCTGAAGCACTTTGTCGACCATTCAAAGTACATATGATTCATTAATTGCATTGAAATTTGAAGTGTTGTTTTACTTTGACAAACAACAGTAATAGCTTTCATGTTTCAAATTATAAAAATAATGCTTTTTTTAATAAAAATAACAGAGACAGAAATACTTCATACTTCGACTTTCAAATATAAAAAAAATTAATCTTCAGATACGTGTTGAGCAGGCTCTTACGACAGAAACAAACTGTGTTGTTCTGTATCGACTATCTTGCCTTTTCACTTTTTACTTAGAAACAATGGCGTATATTTTTTATTTTATTCACTCAATTGCAATTAATTTTCTTATCTTTACTCAGTTCAAGTCTAATTTCAAAGTTAATTTCATTTCGCTATGTGAGATATCTTTGATGCTTGCTCATAATTTTTTTAATTTAAATGTTAACTCAGTATTTTAGAACAAATATGTCAGCAATCAAAATACAGCGGGAAAAGTAAAAAAATGAGTAAATACTCGCATTTTTCATAAATTTCGAGTATTTTTCAAGTTTTTTCTTCATAATTAGTAACTTTAAAACAAATTCATGTATTGTTAAGCAATGAATATGCTTTTTTGCAGTTCATCATTGTGTCCGGATGCGATGTTACTTCAAACATTCACAGAGCTTAAAGAATTGACACTAAATTTGTTTTTCAGTGCATTGCATTCTGCGATTCAAAAGCTTCTCGTGAAAGTATAAAATTTATTGTGTTATGGTTTCATTTACTTATGCAAACTTATTGGACTATTAGAGTTACCGAGAAAAATTTGTTCTTGAGTGATTTATATCATTATTAACATTAAAGATCTTGCTTTTTAGGACTGTAATATAGATCACACTTTGTGCACGTAAATTCAGTCCATATGATCATTACATTACATTTGTAACATGGAAGTTAAAGATTTTTAAAATTCTTGGCTTCATTAAGCTGGATTTTATGGTTGAACTGCATTTATCTTTGAAAATAGTAGGAAATTGAAAAAAATATATTAAAGATGGGAACGCCAGATTATGATTTGCTTCCTGTATCTGTAGTTCACCAAGTACTGCTGCTACTTAAAGAAGTGCTAGAGTCTCATGACGGTGCTGTTGCTAATGTAGCTGACAAAAAAGAAAATTTCGAAAAAGTATGCTTTATTGCATCAGTAAATTTGTTTATAAGAATGTCTATGAACTTTATTATAGTGTGAATGAAGATGATGTTTCAGATTTTCTCGATCGTATTAGATCCCTTAAATCAAGCAGTGCAGTTGTCTGCTTCAGAACTTCATGCACCTGTTGATGTTGCTGTTTACACTCTTAACTGTCTGTCAGCTATTAACAGTTGTATTTTACTATATCATTTTACAGATGCTCGCCTTGAAATGATTAAAGCCCAGGTAACAAAAAATGTGCAGCTAAATTATGAGGATGGAAGTAGCCTTTTTCAAAGAAATATTAAATAGAAGTATTAAATAGATGATAAGTTGTCATGGAGAAAATTTTAGATTTATTTTTGAGCGCATTTTTTAATGCTCGGAATATGTATGGTTTACTTTGATTAACTTTTGAGTAAATTATTATTTTTCTTGTACTTATAAAATTTTTTAAAGATAGATGCAAATGTTGACGTTCTTGTTAGTGAACAAGTAACGTATATTCTCTCTCAGACTAGCCTTCTCGAATTGTACCGAAAAGCAGCAGCTCATCAACCTAACCAGGCAATGTTTTTATGAATTAAAATTGTTCCTAATGTGTGGTTACAAAATGCTTATAAAATGAATGCAATTTTGCAGTTCTGTCTGCTCTTCTGTTAAACATTTTTTTCCTTCAGTAGTTTCCATATTTATTATCATGTATCAGTAAATTTTTTAAGAGTTCTATCTTCAAATTCTTTTAGGGATCCCTTTCAGAAATCAGCGGAATGGAGTCATCACGAATATCAAGTGCACTAATTTTGTTTGATTCCTTCCTAGCAAATCCGGACCATTACAAAATAGATCAGTCTGTAAAATTATCATCCGTGAGACTAAGGTAATATGAAGCCAAAGTATCATTTTTTAAGATGCTTTCATGGCATGAAAATTTTGAATTTTTTGTGCTCCAATAGAGTTAATGTAGTAATTTAAATCAGATAATAAATAAAATTCGTCAAAAATTCAGTGCATTTGACAGATAAGATATTTGAATCAGTATTTTATATTTTAATTTTTTAATGAAAACAGCTTGAGAGAAATCAAAATTTAAAAGTTTTTTTTTAAATTAGTAAAAGGTTTAGTGCAGTTGTACATAAGAGTCTTTTAATAACATCAACGTTCAGGGATTTGGTACGAGAGCGGACAACCGAAAATATAGTGGCAGCCTATAGAATAATTTATGATAAAGTTATCGACTCCAACAACGGATACTCGCAATTGTCGATTAAAAATGTGGAGCAGGTATTATCTATCACTGCATATTAATGCTGAATGAGCTTAAAGCTCTCGGAATAAAAAAAATATAAGTTTTCTATTCCTGAATTTAGATTAAGCTAAATTTAGGAGTTAAAGAGAATTTTTAATGGTAGACGAAATAAGACAGTCTTATTTGCATTTCAGATTAAAGAATTATTGAAGGTTTGGGTGTAAAGTTACGGGATTTTCGATGTGTTTTTCCGCAACTTATCAAAAATAAATTGCTCAGTCAAAACATATGTAAATGATGCGCCAAAATATATTCTGAGAATGCTGTTTCTTCTACATTTCATCTCTTTCTAGCAGTTGATTCCTTTTACCCTAATATTTTTACTGTTAATTTTTAATTACTTAAACACAAAATATCTTTTTCGTGAAATGAAGTGTGGTATGTTCATCCCTCAAATACATTTGTTCGCAAATCTTTTCTTCCATTTCTTACAAGCGAAGTTTTTTATTACAAAATCAGTCGTTCTTATTGTTAAAGTTTTTCGTTTCTAAGTGTTATGTTTTTCTGCTTCATATATCTAGGTTGTTGATGTAGTAAGTGGGAATAAAACTCGTTTTACAATTCATTGTAAAAATTAATAATTTTATATTACTACTATGTTTTTCAGTTTTTAAGGATGCATACTTTCTACTTGGCTTAAATAAATGGATTTTCAAATTCAGTAATTACTAATGACTAGCACGTTACTCACAAAATTTATGTTCATAAGATAACCGTGTATCAAATTTTCGCAGTACAGCAACGATCCATAGAACATTATTGCGATGAAGCACTCAGTATGAGCTTTACAAGTTATGCTTTATGCTCGTCAGTCTCATATTTTGTTCTAGCACCAACTTATAGAATGGAAAAGAATTTGTTTCTGATTTGGAACATTATTGACAGTATAATTCTGAAATAAATTCAAGTGAAAGGGGATTCATTAGTTAATGCTGACGTTGACAAAGTCTTGTGACTTTATTAAGAACCAGGAGTTTAATTTGAGCAAGCAAGCGGTAGATGTGGTGTGCAGTCTTCAGTGTTGCTACGTTTGATAAATGAACTGTTAACCAATATATGAAGGCATGGTAGTGCTTCTTTTTCCAAAGCTGAAATTTGTTTCAACTAGATAAACCGCTGTTTTTGACTCTGACTTGTGCATAATATGTTCTTTTGTAGTTCGAATTTCGCTACGTTTTGTCTCAAATTTTGTCTGATTGTAGTATGCATTTATATCTGTATAATTAGTAGATTTTAGTAGGCAATTTATGATAAAGCTAGGATTTATGTAAATATTGTGCGCATTTTATGAACATATACACCTTTTTTTTAAAAAGTTGCAGTAAAATTATGATTGTAAAATTATAAGTTTTTTACTACACACTGAGAAAATTGTTGTAGATTGTTACTTTTATTAGCAATGAAATTGGTATCGTTTATCACTAATTGCTAGCAGCAAAGCTATAAGTGGAAAATATCTCTCACATAATAATGTCAATTACTTCAGTAATGTTCTCACGTCGTCGTATTCAAAGACACGGAAATGAGTTTGTCTACTTCTTAATTTATCGCCTTTTCACTACACCTGAAATTCCACCTGTTACTTTAACTGCTATAATATTCCAGACGGCAGTTTTTCTTGATTTTATACCGTTTCTGGGCTCTGACAGGATAAGTAAGTTTTTTGTTGTTCATTAATTATGTTTCATTAAGTTAAATTAAAGTTTTTGTTTTCCTTAAGAAAAGAAATATTATTGCTGTCTGAAGCGATTTTGGTATTTACTTGCAATGACCAAAGTCAAAATATGTGAAGTTGCCACTTATTTTTGGCATAAGTAAGACTGAATTCGATGTATAGAAATTGAATATTTTATATAGATAGTGAAATCAGTCTTATGACTAAATATGGTAATAAGATTTGCAGGAGAAATGTGCCTCATGCCTTCTCATATACTATATAGATCAGAATGGTTGAGAATGATAGCATCTCCATTTATGCATGCCTCTGATATGCATCTTTTCTTCAATATGATTTCATTACTATGGAAGGTATGTGTCCATGTTTGTCGTTGAATGAGACGAAGTTTGGAAATTATTTAAAAAATCTGAATAAAGATACTAATATGCGATCAAAGCAGAAAACAAGTATTGCTGTGTTGAATTACTTTATAGGTTAGAAGTCAGTAATTGTATGCCAGGTGCATACTTGGAACATTTTTTCTGCTTTTTAAATGCTATGTTCTTAAAAAAAACATTTTAATGCTAACGCTCAAGCTTTTTGTGCTGTAGCAAATATAGAAACGAAATTATGCTGCTGATCAGCAAGAAAAAGTTTTCTTCTTTCCTTAGCTAATAATTTGCAATACTTATTTTTCAAAAAACTTTTTGATTTAATTTTCAACTACTTTAAATCTAAACAGTAATTCTTATCAGATCAGTATAGATCAATATGAATTTTAGGATTCTGTTTCTGTTCTTCGTTATTGTTAATTAGTACTCATTTATTCTTATGTCTTACTGGTTTTCTATTCTTACAGTTTTAGGGGAAACGACTAGAGCCCCTGTTAGGTTCGAGTCGTTTTCTTTTTCTACTTGCAGTATTCACCATTTTTACAAGTGGAACGATGGTTGGCTTAAGTTATTTGGCCGATGAATTAATGGTTTTGAATGACTCAGATTTTATGAGTAATTGTGCCATCGGTTTTTCTGGTATGTTTCTTACTTTGATATTATTCTCATTACCATGTCAGCAATGTCAGTAAACTTCGATTGCAAGCTTTATAAATTCTTCTTTGTTAACTCGACTACTTTTTTGCTTTTGCAGATATAAACATAGAATCAAAGTCTATGTAGAGAATGATATGAAATATTCTCGAATTATATTTATTTTAGGAGTAATTTTTGCTTTAAAAGTATTGCATACGACATACTTTCCCCATTCGGACCAAATCTTATTTCAATGGTTTATAATACCTTCAAAGTATGCTTGTTGGATAGAGCTCTTTCTTATAAAGGTTATTTAGCTGAAATGGTTGCTCGTTCTTAGATAGTTATATGAGAATTTGCTGAAGAAGATGTAAAAATACGAAATTTAGTCTCAAATGGTATCAAATAATTGTTTCATCTTTTCTCACCTTTTTACATTGTTGTATTTTATACATGTTTGCTTTCCAGTTTGCCATATTATTAATTAATAAATTAACATGCACTTCAAAGCATGACATGATCACTTATTTATTAGAATAACCAAATCAGAATCTGATCCAAAGTATGGGAGGATTTTATGTATTATCGGTTCCGCTACCGGAACACGAAAAATAAAAACTTTGAAAATGCATAGAAAAAAGTAGATTCAATATCATTATTAGAGAAATAGATTCAGTGTTCACGTTAATTTCTGATTATAGATGTATTCTTTAGCTTTATGTTCCCAATTCATCCTTTATTGGTCATCTGTCGGGCATTCTTGTTGGATTGGCATACACAATGGGCCCACTAAAAATGCTCGTTGATTTCTTAGAAAGCGTTATTCCTCTTCAATTTGGTCAGTTTGATTTGTCAGTTTGATTTTGATTTGTGTTATAATTTATGGTATTCGAATTTCGTAGTCGTGCATCCTCATTTACTGATAGATATTAACATTTTATATAAATTTTTCATTGTGAATTTTTAAAGTTATAACTTTATTTCCTTCTTACCAAAAAATATGATTTGAATTAATCAATCTATATGTATAATTTTTTGCGAAGTATTTGCAATTTGAATGTTCTCAGGACTGATATCACATTCATCATCACAAAGTAGAGAGAGACCATCACCAGATAATAATTTTATGCATGGAGATAGCTATTTTAGTTTTGATCGGCGACCGTACGGATGGGGTTATGAACCAAATTATAGTAAGTTTTAAATTAGAGCAAAATTCAAGATACTTTCGTAATATTTGTTTTGATGGCTATATTATTGGTTATATGCAACTTTTTGCCTTAATATTGCTGTGAGGCTAGCGTTATGGATTGTTGTAATCATTTGAGATTACTGATTGTTTCTGTAAATTATGATTCGTTTCTTTTTTATGAAAAAATAATGATTTAAAGGCAGTATAAAAGAAGTCTGTTTTAGCATGTTTTATTAAATTTTTAATGAGTTTTCATTTGCAGGAAACTACGATGAATATACCGGTGGCTTTTCAGAAGAAGAGCAGATGAGAAGGGCCAGAGAAAGAAGTTATCGTGACAATGCTTATCCATCTTACTTTCGCGGATATTAACAGTTTTCATTTACGTTGAGAATTGGTGTACGAGAATACTTCATTGGTGTATAAATTAAATTAAAATGCTTTTAAATGCAGCAACGCATGAAAGATTTTGAAGAATTGAAGTTTGGAGCATTCATTGTTCGTATTGCTTATTGTTTTGATAGATCTAGCTAGAATATCATCGTTCTTAGCACATAGACTTAGCAATTCGAAAGATTGATGCAAGATAGTAATCATTTTTCTGTCCACTTTCCATTGAGTTGTCGCACTTACGAATATCGTATGAGAAATTATTGGTCAGTTCCTAACTGCGTTTTTAAATACATTTCATTGTATGTCTTTTCCGCTGTTTACCATCGTATAATAAGTGTGTGGAGGAGCTGAAACTTACTAGAAAATAGCTCTGTAAGAAGTCAATAATTTGCATAAGTTGAAATTTTTAGCTAACAAAATGATATGATTATGTTTTCGTGATCACTGATGCTGCGTAAGTATTGTCGTGCGGTGGAGTGAGAAATATTTAAAATGTTTAACTATGATGGATATTACTATTATTATAATCCTTACACTGGTGGCTTTCTTTTCATGCTAATACTCATTCTTCTGTGTTGTTGTTGCATATTCAGTGCATCTGAAATACCTGTTTATGGCTATTATTACGACTGTACTTGTTGTGGACCATGCATTCATTGCCGAACCCATCGTTCTATTCAGCATTATCACAGACATCAGATTGCTTACGTATGAGATGTCAAAAACTTCTGAGGTTTATTTTTCGCTTTATTAAAACTGAAAAAGTTTCTTTATTGAGAAATTCTCATTCCTGAAAAAGTGATAATTTATTGGTCCAACAAAATATTTCTTTAAAAAAGCAATAATAGCAAAGTACTACTCGAATTCAGTTCATAGTGATGGTAATACAATGTGTTGGGAAGGGTAGGGAGTAACAATGTTTTATAAGCTCTTCTCTTACATTTGCTTTCAGAAATTATGGGCAACTGTTGTGAATTTATAAATTTTCTAAACGTTATGCAGGATTTGCATTTGCTATCTCAAGTGTGTCAGACGAAGAGGTGAATGCAAAATTATTTTAAAGAATGCATGAATATATCTATGATTGAGGAAGATGAATGATTTTTGTGACCAGTCTTTGCTTTCATTACTTTGTAATTAGATTCGTGTTTTCATTACTTTGTAATGAGCGAAAATTCAGTTCTCATTATCTTACGCTTATGTATTTATTAAATATTCTACCATGTTTTATTTGTTTCATTTGTGATCTCCTTCTTCATCACAATGAGTAGTTTAATAGCTGTTTTGTGTACATGAGCAATACAAGAAGTATGATTTCGTATGACATGGTGATGTTACGCTGAAGCTGAATTATACTATCAGAATCAAATTTTAATAATACAAAGGTAATGTTTTACAACACGTGAAAAACCAATAAATTCGTATGCCACAATTGTAAATGAATGAGATATTTTTCATCTTATATTTTGCAATAAATAATATGCTCAAGCTAATTCCTGGAGAATGGTTAGCTGCTTGCGGGTATTTATTTTCTTTACTAGAAAGAGAATTGAAGTAGTATCGTTCTGAATGATATAAATTTTTGATTGCTGTATTGAAAAGATGCTTGCATTATGATGGAATGAAATGTATTATATGATGTTGAAATAACGTAAAAAATTGGTGATTGTAAAGAATGGACTAGAAATTAATTAATAGCGTTAATATAGTACATCAGTTGTTCATTCTGCTTGACGCAGCAATCTCATCTGTTCAAAATGTGCCTTTCAGTGTTTTACTTCAGTTTGTTGCATGACTGCATAAATATCCCTTTGAACGTTAGAAAAACGAAAGGAAGTATAAAATTAATGACATTTTATGGGAATTATCTAATCATCGCACAAATGACGCCACAGACTAGTTAAATGATACAAGGGAGAACACTATAAGTAAGCAATGATGGTGGAAAAACGATTATTCTGACTAAAAACGAGTAATAAAAACTTGCAAAATGTTATTTTCTCGAGTAAGAACTTTAAAAACCTGAAAATAGTGAAAATTAAGTGAAGAATGAATCAATCTACCAGATGTGACGCAGTAAAATTTTTTAAAATGAATGATGCATTTTCAATTTATGGTAAACTCTAAATTTGATTTTAAAAATAGTAAAATTTTTTTGTATTTTTATGAGATTTTCATTTTAAACTTAACATTTGCGGAGTTTAAAAAGAAATTCTAGTTTATGTTCTCTTGTCTATGTGCAATTTTCCTTGTGTCAAACTTTTAATGCATTTTTGAAACAGCGATTTGGTGAAAAGAAATTAATTATCTACCATTAATTACATTTGGTAGCCAGCCATGACTTTTCAAAGCATTAATGACTGTTGATTGCGTAGAGTGTAAAAAAGTGCCAATTACGCTTTCTTTTCAGAAAATAAATTTAACAAGAAAATAGATTCAATTCATTCAGCAGTATTGCCTTTCACTATTTTTTATAAGCTTTTTGGCGAAAATTTTTCAGCAGTGCTCTAGAAAGGTATGGTATGTGTCGAATTTCTTTATTTTGTAATAAGGGCAACTAAAATTAACGCTTTTGGAGATGCCTTTTGTTATCCAAAATTTTGTTGTAGATAATTAATTTCAAACAAGCACTGAAAACAGTTCCTGGATGGACAGCGATTACCGTGATTCACAACGTGAAATGGATAAGTAGTAGTAGACAGTGCTAAAAGCATGAAAATAGTACTGACAGAAGTGACACTTATCGCAAACATTCTGCATTAATTTCTTTTATTAGAGTGAGAAAAAAGTGACTGCTGCAAATTTGAGGAAAAAAATCTATGAATTGCTTTGCATTACTGACTTTGATGTTAACAAAAATCGTGCAAATATTATTAGAATAGATCGTCTTTCATGAAAGAATTTCATTTTTTATCAAAGTCTAAAATTAGCAGTAAATTTGTCACTTCAGCATCACGGGGTTATTAGTTTTAACAAAAAAAAGAAAAAAAAGGAAAAAATTTAATAAATCGAAAAGTCATGCAACGAAATTCAGAAGCCATTCTTCCTTACTTAACGTAACGAAAATTCGTTTTCAAGAAAAAGAACTGCTCCAAGTATGAATTATAAAGAATGCATGATATTGCAATGACAAAATTTGAAAAATGGATGAATGATATTCTGAAATCAATAAACACACATGTTTCTTTTGCGGTTCTGATTTTAGTTTTGGTCTAATTTTTATCACACACTCAATTTTAGTTAGTAATACAGAAGTAATAGAATATTGCCCTCTGATGGACTACTGGGATTGAATATTGACAAGCATCACTCTCACGGTACTGAAATCTCAAAGGTTTTTTTACCTATTCAAATTATTGCTAACGATTATTTGACTTCCTTTATTGAAATTTAGAGACTTGTTTTTCCTGCTTTTGTTTGCTTGGATTGTTCAGATATAATAAATCTTCATCTTCAACAGTGTGAGAAATAAGACAAAATTTATGAGAACAGTAAAATTAATCCTGAAAGCCAGCAAGTTTTCAAATACGGTCCTCACGAATTATGTCTCACTGCAATTATTATTTGTTCATGCACAACACAATGAAAAATTTGCATAAAAATTAGGCAACACTTTTGATGAATACATTCATGGCTGTTGTTCGAAGTTTAACATTTAATATTTTATTGAAAAAAAGCAGATCTATCTGTATCTCATTTTCTAGTTAGATTCTAATACTGTGTTAGTTTTAGGCAAACTATCTTCAACATTCAAAATAACTTGCAAATTTACTTGTGCAAAAACTCTGAACTCTGTCATAGAATTGATCAATGAACGTCAATAAACGTTCATCTTAAATTTCACTTTCTTTTCAAATATTAAAATATTTACCTTCGAACTGCAACCAATACTTTGATTTTAGGCGCTGATTTGTGTGATAAATGATGAAAGTATTGATAATTGTTCGTATTACAAACGTAAAATTGACTGAAAGTGCAATGTGAACATTCGCAAATTTTTAAATTGCCTATTTATTTACTTTCTTTCTGGACGCTAGCAAACTACGCTACAAACTCGCAAAAACATTGCGAAATAATATGCAACAAATATGTAATTACCTACTCCATTACGAAATAATCAGTTATAATTGTTGCGAAACTATCAACCATAGATATCACGAAAATGTGCGCAAAATTTTTCGCAAATTATTATAAAATGCAACATGATCCACGCGAACACATGTTACATCAAATTCTTTAAATGGAAGATTCAGACTTCATAATTTTTGAAGCACTT